AAGTGTTATAGTAAGGGGGAGTAATTTCAAAATTGATTTCAAAACTTATTTTCAAAGAAAATCTTAAAATTACTCAAGAGTTTTGTTATATCAAAAAGGGGGAGATTATTGAAAACATTTTGATATTTCGATATAACAAACTAAGTTTAAATGAATTTTAAGATTTTACAAATGATTTTCTAAAGTATATTCGATTCAATTAATCAAATATCAAATTATTACTCCAAGTCTTTCAAGATCATTTCAAACCTTACTAAATGTGTAAATTGTGTTTTATACTTAAACTATTTTTGAAACAATTTTCACAAAGTATTTTAAACCAAAATCAAGCCTAAAATCAAATTTTCAAAGTGATGCACCATGCACCAATCCATGTATTGATGCACCATGGAATTAATTGAACATCGAATGCATTTTATGCATCGATGCACTTAGTGCATTTGATGCATCGATGCACAAGACCATGCATCGATGCACTCATGCTATTTCAAAACATCGAATGCATTTTATACATCGATGCACTCTTAGTGCACCGATGCACTGAGAGTCCAATGGTCAAAATATTTGAATTTTACACTTGATGCACCGATGCACCTAGGGTATGCATCAATGCATGAGATGCTCCCAACCACTAATATTAATTGTTTTCACACTTAAATGGCTCTATTTACTCCACTAAGCATCCCCAACATTCAGAATCATTTGAAGGTGTATTTAAACAAGCTTAGAAGCCATTGATCATAAACAAGAAACAACAATCAACTAGAATCAAGAGAGAATCAAAGAGAAAGCATCAAACCTCAAGTTTGAGCATTTCAAGCCTATTTTTCATTCAATAATCATTTTGCTTTCAAGAACACTACTTGTACTCAATTGTATTCATTTTTTAGTGTTCTTTTCTTTTTTCTAAAATTGTGCAAACAATCTACCTTGTGAGGATTTCCTTGTAAGTTTGCAAATTTGTAATCTTCTCTTTGAGAAAGAGTGTTATTAAGAATTGAGGTATATTCTTGAGGGAGTTGTAAGGTTATCTCTTTGGCCTCAAAAGAAAGAACAAATTAGTGAATTTGTTGGAAAATCCTTAGTGTGGATAGCTAAAGTAGTGGACGTAGACTTTGATTGAGAAAGTCGAACCACTCTAAATCGTTGTGCAATTACTTTCAATTTTCTGCAAAAGCTTCCACCAAAATTTTAATTGCCAATTCACCCCCTCTTGGTCGATTCCGTCGATCGATTAACTCAACACCATCCATAAGACCTTCAGTGCAGGATGTTTTCAAATAGCAATTTATCTCACTTGAGATTGTTTTTCTTAAAACAAATTGTTTCTCGCTAGAGAAAGTTTCACTTGAAATAGCAATTTATCTTACTTGAGATTGTTTTTCTTAAAACAAACTGTTTCTCGCTAGAGAAAGTTTCACTTGAAATAGCAATTTATCTCATTTGAGATTGTTTTTCTTAAAACAAATCGTTTCTCACTGGAGAAAGATTCACTCGAAATAACAATTTATCTCACTTGAGATTGTTTTTCTTAAAATATTTCCAGATAGAGTTCATAATCTGAAGAACTCGTCTGAAGAGGAAGAAGGAGTTATAATCTGAAGAACTCGTCTGAAGTGTAAGAAGAAGTTCATAGTCTGAAGAACTCATATGAAGAGGAAGAAGCAGTTCATAATCTGAAGAACTCGTCTGAAGAGGAAGAAGGAGTTCATAATCTGAAGAACTCGTCTGAAGAGGAATAAGGAGTTCATAATATGAAGAACTCGTCTGAAGAGTAAGAAAGTGTTCATAGTATAAAGAACTCATCTGAAGAGGAAGAAGGAGTTCATAATATGAAGAACTCATCTGAAGAGGAAGAAGAAGTTCATAGTCTGAAGAACTTATTCAACCTTTTGCTCAACTCTATCACAGAAAGATATAGATCGTCATTCCAGTGGAAGAGTTCACAATGAGAAGAACTCATAGCTCATAAGTTCAAACATTTCAAGCTAAAAATGGTGTTTTATGTCTTTTATCCATTCCTGTTCCACAGCAACGAGCAAAGAGGGACAGCTGTAATCACCATTTTTACCTTGATCCAGCTGGTTCCCTGCTCCAATTAGCACCTACCAACAGCTTCACATTCCAGTAGCTTCCACCAACGACAGCTAGTTTCTCACTCCATACAAAAGCTGCCAGCAGCTGCCAACAGCCCAACTTCACCAACTGTCCCTCCACGTTCCGGTTATAAATCACAAGCAAAACAAACAACAATCATCACAAACAAAAAAGAGTGTAAATTTTATTTTATTTTACATGTAAATTGGGGCTATAAAAACCCCAAAACAATATGTAAAAAAAGGAAAGGAAAAGGAATCAAGAGCAATACAAAGAAAATCAGAAAGAAAAAAATAGCAACGGTTACTTTTACATTTGGTCTTTATTTTTCAGTTTGGTATTTTATATTTTATTTTATTTTTTTCAAAATAAAAAAATCAGTAAGATAAAAAAATAGAAATATGAAAGAACGATTTTACCTCGTTCATAGTTCTTCGTCGGAGTCTAGTTCACCAACATTGGTTGAAGAATCGGAGGAAGGCTTGAGATTTTCAGTTTCGTTTTTGGTAGTTTAATCCCAAATCGGGATTTAAAATTTTTTGTAGGATAAATTTTAGGTTCGGGTTTTGTGTGGGGATGATCGGAAGAGTGTTTGGCCACCGATTTACGGTGGCCGGTGTCGAGGCTTAGGCGTTGAATGGCTTTTGGCTGAGCCAATGAGAGGAGAGCTTTGGGTTTCTCTATTGAAAAGAGGAATAAGAGATAGAGGCTAGGGTTATTTTTTAGCCAAATAAAGAGAAAAACATACATATATAGATTAAGTTTTTGGATAAATCATCCTTAGGTACTCCCATTTTACCCGTATTTTACATTTCTGTCATTAGTTTAAGGTTAAATTACGTTTAAATCCCCGTATATTTGATGTGTTTCACGTTTTGGTCGCTGAAGGGTTTAGTTTATTTTTTGGGTAAATCACACTAATGTCTCTATACTTTTAGCGTGTTTTTATATTTAAATCACTAATTTGTGGGTTAATCACCCATAAACCATTCTATTTTAGGCGTTTTTCTGTTTTGGTCACCAATATTCTTTCTTTATTTTATTTCAATTTTCGCATGTTAATTTCTATTTTATTTCATGTTAGTCATTAATTAATTCTGTTATTATTTTATTTTTAAATATGATGCTATAGTTTTAATTTATTTTATTTTAGTCACTGTTTAAATTTATTTTATTTTTATTATTGTCCTTTATTTTTCAATACTTTAAATATAGTACTTTAATTACTTTTTTATTTATGTTTTAGTCACTAATATTTATATGAAATACAATATAATAATTTCATAATTTAATTAAATAATAATATTTATCTATTTTTTAATATTAAGAAAGGGGTTGTCTTAAAGTAACTAGATGTCATTTTCTGATATTTTTAAATAAACAAAATATTATATTTAATCTAGTTTTATTTAAATTATTTTTTAGGAAAAATTATCATATTTTTTATATATTTATTTATTTTTTAACATTAAAGAAATGGGATGTCTTAAAGCAACTAGATGTCTTTTTCTGATATTTTTAAATAAATAAATATTTTATTTATAATTTATAAAAATCATTTTATATATGTTTTTCTTTAAAATTATGCGATTAAATCTAGAATAAGAGGATCATAAATTTAAATTATATTCAAATTCTTAAATTCTATTGTTAGAGATAATTTATAATTAATGGGTACCAATTTTGGGCGTTGTAGGGGTACTAATCTTTCCCCAAACGTAACCGACCATGAATCCCTTTTTATTACTAAAAAGAATGAATTTTTGGTTAAACGCAGATCAATTTATCTTTTAACTGATGTTTTCTTAAAAACTCTCTTAAAAGATGATTTTGAGGTATTCGACCTACCTAACTCAAAAAGTTGATGGCGACTCCAAAACATTTCCTTAAAAAATATTTATTTATTCACATGCTTTTTCCCGTCAATGAAATTCGTACCCGGACGAAAATCGATTGTGACACGTTTATTTAACTTAATAAACAAACGTTATATAAATAATTCGCGAACACTATGTTCATGTACATCCCTATACTTGGCCTTGTACACCCATTGATCAACACCAATTGAATGAATTTCTCCATCAATCGCTTGAAACATATGTGCATCCCTAGCAATTTCATAGAATGCTATAGGATCAGAATCTACAAAGAATGGAAAGTGAACCATCTCATCTGTGGAACACAAAAAATAGGATTTGATTTTAGTGTTCGGTCATTAGTTTTTAAAAAATTAAAGTTTTTTATAATATTTATATTTATAGTATATTTTCCTCTCATATGTAAATTATCGACATATGAGGACTTCAGATTTTGGTAAATTAAATTTTTAATTCAATCATATTTAGGGATCAAAACCATAACTTGACCTATAATTTTTTTAATAGTTTGAATGATCATAAAGTAATATATGTTTAGAATTTTTCTTAGTCATTGATAACATACATCCTATAAACATAGTTGTTTGAACTCGAAACATTTAGGGAGAATAAAACTCTCTTTTACCACTTGTATATTCTTGATAGGTTCGTAACCTATAATTTTGTTTATATTTACTCGAGTTGTATAAATTTTCATACAGTATAAGCATTGAAATCTAACAAGAGAGTTAAAGATGGATGATGACGAATGAATTAAGTTGCGCAACGACATAGAGAAAGTGGCGTGAGGTTGAGGTTATCCTAACGTGGTGGATGGGCTTTAAATTACATTTTAACAAAGCCGAAAAGCAGATAAAACGACAACACAACTCATCTCCTAACTATTATTATTAATCACCTTTTGTCTGCTCCATACACGTTATTGTTTCCAAAGGCCCTTTGCTTCATATCTCCCGAATCTCATGATTGACAACATTCCACAACCCCCCTCCCTTATAAATCATCACCACTTTCAGTTTGCAATCAAACAATACTCTATGGCTTGTATGTTCATATATATGTGCATAGTATGAAGCACTTGTGCTTTGTGTTCATGGTGGGAGTTTATAGAACAAGTTATTAGAATGGGATATGGGGACCTTATTATACGAAGCTATAACGCCCAGAAGGATAGAGTTCGAGTGGAAGATCTCGAGAGAAGATGTGAGGTAGGCCCAGCTGAGAGAGGGTTTCTCATCGCAGACACTTTGGGTGACCCCATTTGCAGAATCAAAAACAGTCCGGTTTACACTATGCTGGTACCACTCTTTTAATTTTATATGTATCATCGGATCGTAAGTAATGATTTATATTCGATGCACTGACGTCGTTTTATTGAATATTAGGTAGCCGAGCTGGGTAACCAGCTGGTTGGTGTCATCCAGGGGTCTATAAAGCTTGTAACACTTCATAAACCTCCCAAGAATCTAGCCAGGGTGGGGTATATCTTGGGTTTAAGGGTTGTGCCGCTTTATCGGCGACGAGGGATCGGGCTTAGGCTAGTGATCGAATTGGAAGAATGGTTCATTGCCAATGGTGTTGATTATGCATACATGGCTACGGAGAAAGACAATGAGGCCTCCTTCAAGCTTTTCGTGGACAAGCTAAGCTATGTTGAATTTCGGAAGCCGGCCATTCTTGTAAACCCCGTTAGCCGTCGGATTTTGAGGATATCGTCGAACTATGAATTCGAGAAGCTCAAGATTGAAGAAGCTGAATCCTTATACCGTAAATTCATGTCGTCGATGGAGTTCTTCCCGAACGATATAGGCAATATATTGAGAAACAAGCTAAGCTTGGGGACATGGGTGGCTTATCCGAGAGGTGAATCATGGGGGGCAACATTTCCTAGTAGTTGGGCAATGCTTAGTGTCTGGAACAGTGGGGAGCTTTTCAAGTTGAGGCTAGGGAATGCACCTTCATCTTGTTTAATGTACACACAAAGTTCACAATTGATGGAAACGCTTTTCCCGTGCTTTAAATTGCCGGCCATACCGGAGTTTTGGCAACCGTTCGGGTTCTATTTCGTGTACGGAGTGTATCGCGAAGGTCCGTTGTCGGGCAAGCTGGTGCGGACCCTGTGCCGACTCGTGCATAACATGGCTGCGAAGTCGAAGGATTGTAAGGTCATTGTCACGGAAGTAGGCGGTAGCGACACATCGAGGAATCACATCCCGCATTGGAAATTCTTATCGTGTCCGGAAGATTTGTGGTGCATAAAAGCCATGAAAAACGAAGAGAGGAGCAGCCTCATTGAAATGATGAAAACCCCACCAACAAGAACTCTTTTTGTTGACCCCAGAGAGGTATGAACTAAACAAAACCTGACCCCTCTTGTCTGCCCAACTTAAATGAACGTGAAATTATATTAACCCCAATTGACATGTGTATCTCAACTCCTGGTGGGGGCTTTTATCTTGTTGCTTTCACATGCTGACACAAAATCTCATAAGATTTCCTTAATTAGTTGCCACCCACACGGTGTCCTTTGCATGTTACTCATTTTTGCACCTCTTAAATTTCGGCTAATCAACTTATTATTATTCTTTAAAATTTTATAAATTTGTAAGATATGACGTTCTGACAACCTGAATGGTCCAATCTTGTCTCTTCCACCTTGTGTAAATATTTTATCTGGACCCTTCCTTAACATGCCACTATTAAAAGATTGAGAGTGATTCCCATTATTACGAAATAAAGCACAATAAATTCTTTAAACACTACCTTTGTGCTCTCTACGAAATTATACCACTTGACATTTCAAGCAAAACATTTCTGTTCCCCCCCCCCCAATTTACTTGCCAAACTCACTACTTTAAATACGCCATAATCATCCTCTATTTTCAGTAACCCTAGTTTATTCAAAAGGTACCATATTGGTTAGGTTTTAGATTTTAAAGCTCAATGTTGTAATACGCTTATAATATTTCAAACCCATGCGTACTCATAAAAATTTTGATAATAAAAGTTTATCAAGTGATCTCAGTAGTAAAATGGACTGTTGTTCTCCTCAAAAGTCATCAAAAGTCATGTGTTTGAGTAACTATATCCGCAGAATGTATATGCGTTGTCAATTGATTAAAAAATTCTAACAAATACTACCTTATAATCACCCCGAACTATTTAAAAAAATATCGATAATAATGATAATTAATAGTTTGCCGAATATTAATGTTTGTTATTATATAAAATGGTGGAATAAGACATTTTTTAATTTGGAGAGTCAATTATAAAAAAAAAAAAACCCAGTAATTTATCTATTAAATCATGTATGTCTATATGTGAAATATTCTTTAAAATATTATAAAAAAATATTTTTAATTTTAAAAGTCTAAATATTTTTTGTATTTGTTTTGAAAAGAGATTCATTGTTGTAATATAAAACCGTGCCTAGTATTTTTGCAAGATACCCACACATTTTTCTTTTGGATGCATAGCAGTTGATCACAATATTGCAGGCATAAATGTGTTGACCATAAATCGTCCATGGGTGATTCTTAAAATGAAAAATCTTCCTTGTGAAAGAATATTGGACCACAGATGGAGAATGAAATTCAATTAAAAATGGGTGATCCTAAGCTTCTGGTATTGATTGCAATCTCCGATTAAAGTCGTCCTTTGGGAGCAAAATTTTCTTGGGAAATAACATTTGATGATTGGATTAAACTGTTTCTTCATTCATTGTTGACATTAAGGGTGTGAATAACTTTAATGGCATTGGAATTTCTATATCCAATATGTATGTATGAAATTGGTGATCACATTATATAGAAAAACTGGCATCCCACACCACTGTTTTTTGAGTAGATACATCGTACAAGATGCTATCGATAATGGGCACTTGACGATGATACATTATTCAAGTTTTGAATTAGGTTTTGTTGGCGTGAATACTACGTATACTCAAGTCTGATTCGATCAAAATTTAGTAAATATTTGAGTTCTTCACAAATTGAAGCGAGTTTATATATTATTTTTAAAAACTCGCAAGCAACTCAATATATATATATATATATATATAGTATTTTTAATTTTTAAGTTAAATTATTAATAATATTAACATTTATGTATTATTATTTTTAAATGCAATACAAGATTTTCATGTACTTAAATTTCAGGTTTGAGCTCGAGTTTAAGCTTGAACCAAGTTCGAATTCGAGCTTCAATTGAGCTAAGTCTAAAAATATATTTTGAGTTCAAGTTTTTTGGAGCTCGGGTCAAATTTTAATTTTTCATTTCAAGTCGAGCTTGACAATTTAAAACTCGTAAACCTATGAATCAAACTCAATAATACTCGAGTTTCACTCGACTCGTATACAACCCTATATATGAGCAACTAAGCATTGGGAATGAACTGAATGGCTGAAGGTTAATGGTACATGATTTAGGGTTTAAATGATAGGTCTTGAGCCAGGCTTTTTCAGGGAGATGGGCCCATATTTGATTTTGGACTTCCCTTGGATTTTTGCAATTCAGGACAAACAATAATCATGGGCCGGAACTTGCTCGTATCTCCGCCTAGCGAGTGTGTGAGTACCTACGAATCTGCTCTACTAAAGCTGGTCCTATTAATCGGCTTTCAGTTCTAATAATCTCAAAGATCTAGTTGGATACAGCAGTGTGATGGTGCCAAATGTTGTTGGCTTTTAGTTATTGTATAGAAACCAATAGAAGTTTGATCTATCAAAGACATTATAAAAAGCAAAAAATAAAAATCATTTCAAGTCCCAACAGTTTAATTATTTTTCTCTTAGAATTTCTCTTTGTGTTTATTAAATAAAAATATTTAAATTATAAATTAAACATTATTTATTTACAATTTATAAATAACATATTAAATAAAAATATCAATTTATTTTTTAATTAAAACTATTTAATAATATTAATATAAATGATTGAAACTTAAGTAATCATATTTAATTGGTTAATCAAGTTGCTCATTTTTATTATCTTATTTCTTGAGTTCTAAATTCACTAAGAACACTCTCTCTAATTCCTCTAGAGTCCTAATTCCTCTACTCCCATGTAGGTAGGATTGAATTTAGAATTTTTTTAAAAAATTGATTGATAATATTAATAATAAAATCTAAATAATTAAATTAAATTATAATTTATAATTTAAACGAAATTGGAGATTAAATTAAGTGATATAAAATGAAATGATCGTAATAATTGACTGAGTAAATTACCCAGTAACAGAGACGGAGGAAAATTATGTCCTTATTGAAGTCAAGAGTCCAATTCTCGAAAGACATTGGGCCCCATGAACCCCACCACCCTCATCAAAGCTTTCCTCGTAGAGTAGGACCACAGCGCAATTTCCTCCACACCGTTCCACTTCCCTTTCTCTCCTCTTTTCACTACAGCTACGGTAGGCGTAGTCATGTCTTCGTGCGTGACGGACACGGCTCGAACCCTCGCCTGCAGGGACGGCGCGGCGGCGGCCCACCTCAAGCTTCTCTCGCTTTTAGTCATCTTCTTTTCCAGTATCATCGGCATATCTTCCCCCATCTTCCTAGCTCGTTATTTCCAAGGCAAACCTGTTTACGACAAGGCAATTCTGATAATCAAGTGCTTCGCTGCTGGCGTCATCCTTTCAACCTCCTTAGTCCACGTCCTTCCCGAAGCCTTCGCCGCCCTGTCGAACTGCCACGTGGCATCACGCCATCCGTGGAAAGACTTCCCTTTCGCCGGGCTGGTCACGTTGGTCGGGGCTCTTATGGCCCTCTTGGTGGACTTAACGGCGAGCTCTCACGTGCATCAGAGTCATGATAAGAAGCCGAGCGGAGAGTATTTGCCGGTGGCGGCGGCACAAGATGGAACGGTGGGAAAGAAAGCAGGGAGTGATTTGTCGAAGGAGGAAGCGGTGAAGCTGAAGCAGAAGCTGGTTTCACAAGTATTGGAGATTGGGATAATTTTTCATTCGGTGATAATCGGGGTGACGATGGGGATGTCGCAAAATCAATGTACGATTAGACCATTGGTTCTTGCACTCGCTTTTCACCAAATCTTTGAAGGCATGGGTCTCGGTGGCTGTATTGCTCAGGTAACCCTCTTCACTTCCCAATTTTTGCAAAGTTTTTTGCTGCTATTGACCAAACCAGAATGAGATTCCTTTCCAAGTTTAGAGTCTTATAGAACCATTAAACTTTTAGGGTATTTGCATTTTGGTAATTGAAATAAGAAAACTCCATCGAAGTTATTGTCGATAAGGAAAACTTTCATTCCGGTCACTTGACCATAGATTTGTGGGCATGCCACGTTAATTGTCGTTAAAAGATTTAACGGCTTAGTGATTTAAATAAAAGTTTTCCATGATATCAGTGACTCCGATGAAAGGTTTTCAATTACATTGTCCAAATTACAAACGCCCTAAAATTTCATTGACCATGAGTGTGGTTTGCCCAAAATTTTATAACAATTATATATGCATATTATATTACTTCATGCATCCTCTGAGTAATGTCATAACGTGCCGTTGTACAACATTAGTGCTATCAAGTGAATCCTAGAATGGATTTATTTGTACTTGTGTATATTTAATAGTAAGCAGGCAATTATATGTGTATATATATCATGATACTTGATGCATGCAGTGAGGAATGAGATTTGTGATTTCAGGCGGATTTCAAGATGGGAACAGTGGCATACATGTGCTTTATGTTTTCAGCGACGACGCCGATGGGAATAGTGTTGGGAATGATAGTATTTGCAGTGACGGGATACGACGACAACAACTCGAACGCATTGATAATGGAAGGGTTGTTGGGTTCAATGTCTTCGGGTATACTAATTTACATGGCTTTGGTGGATCTCATTGCCCTCGACTTCTTTCATAATGAACTCATGGCTTCCCACACCTGGTTGAAGAAGGCTTCATTCATTGCCCTTGCTCTTGGCTCTACTTCTATGTCTATCCTTGCACTCTGGGCTTGAATATTATTAGTCTTCTTTTTTCCCTTCGAAAATAAGTAAACGAAAATGTCAGTCACTAACCATAGCTACAAATACAGCTTTGCTGTTAGAAAATGATGGTTGTATTACATAATTATGCAGAAACGTCCATAATTTCATCAACATAGAGAATGAGAGGTGTTTGTGAGGGCAGCGTAACTAAGATCTTTGCCATATTTGTTTCCTACCTTCCCTATCTACGATTATAACTTTTATTATTTAAGGGTACTATATATTACAAGATAATCTAACAAAGTTGATACTGGCAGCAGTTGAAAGAAAAAAAATCAAAAATAAAGCTATATGGATAAATAATATAAATTTAAGGGCTTGAAGCATCGGTCCCGTAGCTCAGTGGGTTAGAGCGTTGGTCTTATGAGCCGAAGGTCGCGGGTTCGAGCCCCGCCGGGACCATTTGTTTTTAATTCTTGTGTTTTTGAAGCAGAGAAACAATCATGTTGAAAGGTGCTCAATAATAAATGGTCGCCCTCTCTGGCGCTTCAGTTTCTGTCTAATTTTGAATTTCTTTACGAAATAAATGAGATTGTTCATCATGAATTTTACAAATTTATCGGTTAAATTTTCAAGTTAGGTTATTTTATATTTTTTTTCTTCATCAAAATTGAAGTCTACAAGGCCAAACCAAATATCTGTTCCATGTTAATAACATGAATGGGGAAGACAGGCAACAACACGCCCGTGATAAAACACGGTATGGGCATTTCACCCGCCACCCAACACCTTAATTTATATTTCAACCTCCAAAATAATGAGTAACTATTATTATGGCCTCCTCCAAAATCTTTCAATGGGACTTCACCCGCACCAACACTCACTCTCACAGTCACACTCGAGCCCTTTTCCTCTTGCTGCTCTTTTTCTCCCTCGTTATTTTCATCACCATCTTTTCCCTATGTGCTCATAGGATTTTCGGCCGAGGTCTACTCTCGACCGCCGCCGATGCTATGATTAACACAACACCAGCTTCTTACCCAGGGCTCGACACTCGTACCATTAACAGTTTGCCCATCATTATGCACACCAAAAGTGAAGGCAAAGCACATGGCTGCATTAAAGAAACCGAGTGCTCTATCTGTCTAGGCGTATTCGAAGACGAAGAGATGGTGAAGATGTTGCCACCATGTAACCATGCGTATCATTCTCAGTGTGTTGATAAGTGGCTTGGTTCTCACTCAACCTGCCCTCTCTGTCGAGCTTCTTTGACTCCTATCACTTCTCCCTAAAAGCCAATTACAGAGAGTTAAGAGGAAATCATTTTCTTGTAACTGTAAAGAACGTTTTTTTATGGTGCGTAACCCTACTTGGATTGAGATTGCTTACCATTTTTATGTTGCAGTTTATCAATCTATTCTTCCGCTTTTAATTAAATGAAAAAAAAATAATTCACACGTTAATTATATTATGAAAAAGGGTAAACTACTTTAAATACCACTCACCTTTAGGCTCGGGCTTGTTTATGTCACCAAAGTTTCAATTTTATCAATTTTAACACTAACGTTTAAGTTTAATTGCAATTATGTCACTCCGCCGTTAATGGCTTAACGGTACGATGACATGGCATCTTCATGCCGTAATGTTGCTGACGTGACTCTCTCACCAAAACAATGTCTAAACCCTAAATTCCTAAAAATCCAAAAAATGCATAAACTTTAAATTGTAATCCCTAAAAATCATAAGATTCATTGTTAGGGAGCTTATGATTTTTTTAGTAATCCCTAAATTCATTCTAAAAATGAATCTTATGATTTTTAGGCATTACAATTTAGGGTTTATGATTTTTTGGTATTCCCTAAATTCATTCTAAAAAATGAATCTTATGATTGTTAAGGATTACAATTGAGAGTTTATGATTTTTTTGATAAACCCTAAATTCATTCTAAAAAATGAATCTTATGATTTTTAGAGATTACGATTAAGAGATTATGTTTTTGGTAATCCCTAAATTCATTCTAAAAAATGAATCTTACGATTTTTAGGGAATATGATTTAGAGTTTATGATTTTTTTTTTGGATTTTTAGGAATTTAGGAGATTTTTGAGATTTTCTGGAATTTAATGTGCTTTTTGAGAATTTTAATAATTTCATGGGTTTTTTAGAAAGTAACTTTTGGAATGCTGACTCGTGTTTTTAGAATTTTATAAAAAAAATTAAGTTGGCATAGTGGTTAAGCCTTAACCTTTGTTTCAAAAGATTTTGGGTTCAAATGCATTATTTACTAAATTTTCTCAAACAAAACTATGTTTTGGGAGAGGTATAATTGCAGTTAAACTTAAACGTTGGTGTTAAAATTGATAAAATTGAAACGTTGGTGGCATAAATGAGCCCTAGTCTAAAGGTGAATGGTATTTGAAGTAGTTTACCCTATATAAATTAATGTTTCAAAAGTAAACTTATCTCAATTGATATAATCACACAATTAGATGTTATTTGAGGTTAACACAGTTATCCAAAAATTATCTCTTTCAAAAATTAGCTTCTAGTAAATGTAAACTTAATTCATTATTGGCTTATCGTCTTTCGTTTAGAACTTGAATCATTTCCTGATAACATACTTCTTGATGTTATCATTGTTGGCTTTATACTTTTACTCCAAGGTGTCCTACAAGGACTTTGCACATTTATCTTTAACAAATAGGTCAAAGAGATCTTTAGTCATGTAACTTAACATATGATCGTTTACCATCCTACTGTTCTTGTCGAACTTTTCTTTGACAACGACATTGATAATGAGATCGGTGACAGAATCTACATTATCTTCAATTTCAAGCTGTTTGAACAAAATGAACATTCTCTTAGATCAGCATTAGTAATTGGTGCCATAAAGTGGCACGAGCTTAGAAGATTGAGGATGAACTTGTTCATGTTAATCAGCGTATCTTAATAGCGATAATGATTTACTTTTAAATTGTTAGAAATACATCTATAAAACGAATCTCTAGTATTGACCGAATAAATAAATTTAATAAATAAAATTAACATCTTAACTATATCGTAAAAGAATCATTGTCTTATAAGAAAAGGAACCAAATTATTGATAATTGTCGACTACTTTACCGGTTATTATATTCATTATATTTTAAACCATCAAATACCGATATGAGAGATTTTTTTTTTTTGAAGTTTAACTACAAAGTGGTGAAAAAAAAGTTAAGGTACCATGTTGAAGAAAACCGTCAAGTTTAGGGGCAAGTGATATATTAAGGCCAAGAAAAAAAGTTGACTGTGGAGGAAAAAAAGCAACCATACTGCCATAAGATATCATATTAATACCACTGTGAAAAAGAAGAGTACAATGAAGTGAATTCAATGGGCCTGAGGTGGACCAAATCCAACCATAGATTTGGATTTTCTAATAAATGTGTGCAGCAATTGTTTGACCATTTATGTCTCACACCACATGATTGATTTATAAGGAACAGCGTAATCCAAGACTTTTTGTCCCCATTACCAATTTAAAGTCACATTTTTTAGTAATCTGGGTAATATTATATGGGGAATAATTGTCAAGCATATGTAATTATTCTAATTTAAAATCTTAAAATAGAATAATATTTGCATGAACTGACTCAACTTACTGATTAAAAAAATTATTATTATTTTTAGAAATTATGAATTCGAACATTAGTGGTTGCAAGGGTGATTGAACGCTCATTGTTAAAAGGTTGAGAGTATTTAGAATAGATATTACTTTGTGATCAATTTAGTTTAATCTCAAAAATAAAAATAGAATAATATTTTTTGACCGAACATTCAGTAGATTTTTTACACCCACTTTTTTATTTACATTAATTTTGAGTTTAAATTATTTTCAGTTTAGATTTAAAGTTCGTAGTTGGCTTCAGTTTTGGGTTTTGAGTTTAGAAATTAGAAGTATAATTTATAGTTAAAAGTAGTGGTTGCACATAAATTTACAGAGTCGGGAATTGTAGCAGCAAATGATTAAAACCTAATAAAAAATGAAGATTGAAACGAGCGGAAATTATGAAGTCTTAACCCCCTGGATCAATGAGAAGCAGGAGAAAGATAGTAAACAAGTTTCCAAGATCTATACAAAAAGTGATGGGATTTATGAACATAAACATGAAAAATCACTCTATTCACCATTTCTCAAACTTGAAGCTCACTGGGGGTGATTGATGGGGGGAAAACTTTGCGCTCTGATCTGTTCCTACTCAGCATTCTCTTCAAAGAGAGTGTCAAAGAAGAAGATGATGGTGAAAGATTATCATTATCATCAATGGCGGCCGCACCAAAATCTGATGAACCACTAAGATTCTCACCATTCAATATCCCCCCCACTAAGTCTCCAACGAACTCGTTTGAGAATCCGTATCAGTGCCCAACACAGGAGCTCTGCAAAGGGGACAATTTGAGTGAGAGTTCAGCCACATATCAATGCATTCAACGTGGAAACCATGGCCACACTTGGGTAAGTTCCTTCCAACTTCATTATCCTCGAACAGGCTTAAACAAATCACACACTCCAACCCAAGCTTGCTGTGTTCTTCCACGTTGAAAACAAACAATGGAATCGATGAAATGACAGAGGAATCGAGACCCTTTGATGGGGTGGCAGGGAAAGTGGCGTCAAACGTGAAGGCGTGGAAATGGCGGAAGCGATCGGGGTGGAAGACTTGAGATAGGGAAGAAGAACGACTTCTGTAGCGAGCTTGAGCCAAGAACCATTTGGAGTAGACATGGAGGAGCAACACAAAGAGGATTACGAGAAGCAGAGAGATGATGGCAGCTAGTAATACATTGCCATCGTAGGAAGAAATGGAGCTGAGGAGGTGAGAAATTGGGTTCGAGGTCTGCTCTGTAGAGTCGATGGAGACTGCCATTTTTTCCCTTTTTGAAGATGGAGAGCTGAAACTGTGGAAAGTTGAATTATTGCAAGTAGTGAAGAAGAGAGTCTAAAGTGTGATGTTGATATGATAGAGATGGAAATGGAAATGGAAATGGGGGTTATTATTATATATGGTCACTAGTGACTGAGGATGAAGAATAAGAAATAAATGGAATTGGAATCTTCTGTAGGAAATGT